AGGCAAAATGAATCAATGTCACCTTGAGTAAGTATGGAGATCAGCCTGGCAGCATTCCTGAGATAGCTGTGTGAAGATCTGACACGGTTATTCACGGGAGACTTAAAACAGAGTCCAGGACCACGGGTGTAACCCAACCTCAGGAGCAGAGGGAACTTGAATGAGATCAAGGTCATCTCAGGAGCTGCAAAAGAGAAGGTCACATCTGGGTCAGATGTGCAGGGCATCTCAGGTTAATTCCTCCGTCATGTCCTCATCTGTGGAAGCAACAGTCATTTCTCAGCACTCTGCCCTGCAGTCCCCTTGTCTGCAGAGATGTGCTGCTGGAAGGTGGGCATGGGAAGAGCAGGGTCTGCAGTGACTGGGAAAGGAGCCGTGTCTTGCTGTGCTTGGCACAGTGCAGACACCTGCTTTGCAACCAGACCTTCATGGAGCTGTTGGACTGGGGAACAATTTCTATTTTAGCAAAGGGGATAGGTAGGGTGCAAGGGCTGCTACCACCAAATGATTTTTAGGGAGCTGTGCTTTGAACTGTGGGCCTTTAAGGGTCAGGATTCACTGACCTGGCAGGTGCTGAGGAAAGCCCCAGATAAAAAATGGCCACAGGGTCCAGTTGCTCCAAAATTGTTCAGATTTTGGATCTTTGTGTAACATTTTCCGCCAGGATGTGTCAGGAGGGGAGACACTGAGTGGGGTCCTGGTGCTGCTTGGGGCAGGAGAGCTTTGGGACATCACTTCCACAAGGGCTGATGGTTAAGGCTGAGGGTTCAGTCCCAGTGGAAAGGTCTGAGAGATACCCCTTGCTCTGCTAATACAGTGAGGTCCTCTCAGCCCCACTAAGTGCTTCCAGAGTGCTTTGTTGCTCATGGATGCGAGGGGAACCCAGCCCTTTTCTAATTGTCACGTTCGAGGCTTGTGCAGGCAGAGATGTGTTCCATATGGAGACAGCAACCGAGCTGCCCAGCTTGGCACAGCCAGCCCGTCGATGGGAAAATGATACATTTAATTGTATGGATGTCATAGTACTGGAGTCATTTTCTTAATCCTGGAATTGGAAATAAATACAGCAAATAACAAATATACAGTTGGCTGGGGATGATTCAGAGTATTCATTGTGAGGAGTTGGAGGGCAAACATATGGAGGAGGTTCTCATTTTCAGGCTGAACAGGACATATCTCAGCTCCTTGTAAATTCGTCGGGTTGGGCTTATGGAGATTTCAGCCAACTGAAAATTCAACCCCTTGTTATTAGATGGGATGCTGAGAGTCTGTTCTTACTCTCAAGGAAGTACTTTCTGACGTTTGAAATTGGACTTTAACACCCAGGTATGATGTGAGCTGCCCCAGGCTGGAGCTTGTTCCTTTTTTTGGTCAGTGCTTCCCATCTGAGAGCCACTTCTTTCTGCTTTGCAGATTTCCCCTAGTGCTCTTCATGGCCGTGCTTGCTCCGCTCCTCTCCACACTCAGCTGTAGCCCCCATCTGCTGGGATTAATTGCTGGCAATCCCTGTTCTTGGAGTCAGAGATTGGCAGGACAGTCTCACCATGGGTTGACAGAAACCAAGGTGGAAAAGCAGGATAGGAACACTGTTGTGCTTGCATACCATGAAGCATCACTTTGTGAAGGCACTGAGAAAAGTTTGGTCATGAGAACAGGGCCGTTAAACACAGCATTTTACATCTAACTGCCAGTACCCAGCATTTCTGTATATTTGTTGAGGGTTTCCTAGACAGACATGGGCTGTGGGGCTCATGTCCAACATTTCTGGAGGCTGACATACACCCGGCACCACTGTGATACGCCTGTGGTAAGGCCAGTGCTTACCAAAAGTGTTGGAGCTACCACAAATGGATTGTTGGTTGGGTTTGCGCATTCCTTGCTTTTCGTCAGCCTGGCTGGAGATGTCACACATCTGCTCCAATCAGGAATTCTGGAAAACCAGAAATACAGGTAAACATCACCCCCCACCCCCTTCCCCATACATCCATATAAACCTGGACAAATCAGCCTTCCCCAGATGCTACTTCTGCCAGCCAAAGATGTGGAATTCCCAGTGAAAACCGAGGGTGGTTATCTGTAGCCCACAAGTAATTTCAGCTCAGTTTCTAACAATGATTTGAGCTCTGGAGTGTAAAGTTTAACTTCACTTCCAGGCTGTTTATTACACTAAATACTCCCGATATCTGTATCTACCTCCTACCCAAGTTTTCTCAGTCCTGAGACAATCAATAACCATGGCTCTTGCCAGCAGTGATAATAGAAATAGCTCTCTCCGTCTTAAGGCTGATTACTCTCAGGTCACTCCAAAGCACCTCTCTCCCAGAAGCAGATTTGGAGCTTACCAAGCTTACATCCTTTGGGAGGGATGTTAACCACACACCTCAGCCTGTGCAGCTATCTCCATGAGCTGCACTCATCGTTAATCATATCGAGCTGCAGAGCTCACCAATTTGTGGCCAGGCAAAGATGCTCTGCGTGTGCAGGCAGATGTGCTGGGAGTAATTTTCTCCTGTTTGTCCCACTCTGCGAGGGCCCATGGCTTCAGACAATAATATCGGTGACCCACCTGCTCTTCTCCTGTTGACCACTTTGTATTTATCCACTTTGTATTCTGCTCCAGATGTTTGGGGATGTTCCCTGGGAATAAGTGAATGACATTACTCTTATTCCTTCCCTTTCGAATGTCTTCCCACTTGGTACAGACTCTACTTAATATTTCATTCTGCATTTTCATAGTTGGGCACTTATGCACATTAATTATTCAAGAGGCACATTGCTTGAAGTAAACGTATAGATAAAGGCAGCTGCTGGTGTTTTCTAAGGAAGGTGGTCACTAATCAGGATCCACTGTTACAACTTTCAAATAAAAATCTCACAGGCTCCTTTTCTGTTCTACATTTTCAAAAGTCTATTTTCTTACTTGGTGCAGGATGGCACCTCCAGGTGTATCAGTGCAGATCAAACATTCTCACTCCCATCCCATCTGAAAGTAGGGCTGAGACACTGCAAAAGTCTCTCCTCTCCATGCTAAATCCAGCACTGTGGTAATATTCCCATGCTTACAAAGGCTGCTACATCTGTCCAGCAGGAAAGGCTGGCTTTTTAGCCTCATTTCTATTAATCTGTGGCAATTCCGTAGCACTGTGTGTGTCACGTACCATGGTAAGATAGTTTTGCTTTGAAGAATAGCAACTTCACTTCCTCTTCATAATTGACATTACTCAGATCTTTGAGAGACACAACCCAGGTAAAGTCCTGGTAAACCTGCCTCCTCTCCAAACTCAGCCTCCTCTCCTCTGTTCTCCAGCCACCTGCCCAGCCTGACTCACTTAAACACATTACTTTGCACCTTACTGCTGGGAGGAACGTGCATCTTTTGGGTGGGAATCCGGGCAGCTCCAGGTGACAGGAGGAGGCACCTCAGTTTCTTTCCTGGAATACCAACTTCACCACAAGCTGTCAACCTCCATTCATCAGTCCCAGCAGGGTCGAGCAGGGTGGATTTGCTCGTGGGTGGAGCTGAGAGAAAGTAATGAGCTCCTCTTAATGAAGAGAGTGATTTGGTTTGCTGTGTCTGGCAGACTGTTTTCATCTTTTGTACTTCTGGTAGTTGGCATCCTGGGCAAGACTAAGGGACTTCAGTTTGGGAGTGGTAGGCATGCACTCAATTTGCTGCCTACCACTGGCAGAGGATCAAGGCTGGAATTTTCATTACTCTTGCTTTGCTTGCCAGAAAGAAGTACTTTGATTTAATTCTGGTGGCTTCTTGTTCAATGCCAAACTTGGAACGTGATGCTCTGATGTCTTCCAGCTTCTTAAAGTAACCACAATGTCCCGCTGAGGAAATATATATTTATACAACAGAGGAATTGTATTTAAGTATGGAGTCTTTTTATTAACAGCAATTGCATGCTAAGCTCTAGGTGGATCCTATGCTTTGGAACATCAGACTGGCTCCTGTAATAAATCCTATGTACCAAGCTCCGATCGCATCAGATATTTGTGATTCCCCAGTAACTATTCTTAGAAGGCTCATCCTGTTAAAATACAGCCACCATGTCTCTTATCCCTGAAAGAGGATAAGGGATTCTAGGAGAGCTGATCAGATGCTTTCTGGCATAGACGTCCCTTAAGATGGAAGACTGTGCTTTTGACAAAATGGTATTTTTCTAGAGAAAGCATCTGCTCTCCTTACAATGTCATTTTCTTGCCAGAAGAATACCTCAAAACCAAATTGTATTATTTTTTGGACAAAAATTCAAAAGCCCTGGGGTTTTGGCAAAAGAATTTAAGAATTCAACAGAAAAAAAAAAAAAAAAAAAAAGAAAAAAAAAAAGAAAACGTTTTTGTTTTCCAAAAACCGAGAAGCTCAAACATTCTTTCCCTTTTTAATTCTGTTTAAGAATTAAGGAAAAATATTTTGTGACCATATTTTCCCTCTGAGGGAAGAGACCCTGTTTGCAACGCTCTCTAGATGCTAGCAGAAAGTGAGTGTCAGTGGGTATTAAACTAAAGCAAAGTTCTATAGCGTCACTGAGTTTTCTTGAGGGCTAGATATTTTCTGTTTCCCATTGCATTACACGAGCAGCTGGTGTCTCAGTGTTGTTGGCAGAGGAATGAATTGACCGTTACACCAACAGCACTATGTTGGGTGTGATGCGCTGGAGGGAGCATGGAAGAGCAGACCAAGTGAAATGGAGCCAAAACTTGGAGATAGAGGACATCAAAAGGGCACATATTTACAACAAGACTGAGGAGACAGGTCCTTGGACTTTTGGTATTCTGCTCTGGGAAGTGTGAGGACACAGGGGCCTCTGGGCAGCCTGGTCTGGTGGTTGGTGACCCTGCACATAGCAGGGGGGTTGATACCAGATGATCATTATGGTCCTTTTCAACCCAGGCCATTCAATGATTCTATGATTTTATGATATTGTACTCTTGCTATAAGCTTTGCTTTCCTTGCAGCTCTTTCTCAGACAGCCTGTTTTGGTCCAATACAGGAGGAACAGATGAAACACAAGGCAGAAAGAAAATCTGAAAATGTTTGAGGCCACGAGAAGTTTCATTTTAGACAGGACTCACACATCTGGTATGTGCACTGTCTTTTCCATTCATTTGGTACGGACTGTCATACTCTACAGCAATATTAATGTATTAATATATTCATGGAATGTCAACATTTATATATAATGCAATTAGTGCTTTAATACAAAAGTCAAAATGAAATGAATCAACATGACATCTGAAACAAAATCTTTTGACACTGTTGAAATGAAATAGCCTTTATGGAAGAGTTTTTACCCATCCTGCTCCCCCTTCCTCTCCTGCTCAGTTTTCAGACGTTCTGTTCCAGATGTGGTGGTCAGACTCCATTTGGGCCAATGGACGTATTTGAAAAGAGAGACAGCCTAACACTGACCACTTTTATATCACTTTCCTTAGAGAAGCACACATAGGTCTCCCTTGAACTTTGTCTCAAATTACTAGAACAATAGGTCAGAAATGAGGAGCGCTCATGTTTCTGCGCTTTTGGCTGTTGAAGAATGGCTAGCCCATAGCTCAGATTGGAGAGCAGGTGATAAATGCTGATCCAGAAAGCTCAAATACAATCTTATGCATTATTTCCTTCCTTTCCTGAGCCCTCACCCCTATTTTCTCCCCCAGAACTCCATATGTAATTTTTTGTTGTTGTTATTTTCTGTGTGTTGGTATAGCAGTATCTTCCATTCACCATGACATCTCATCCCTGAAGTCCACAGGTCCATCCTGAAATACGTCTCTCCCCTCTCCATGGAACAGCCTCACACTTTTGATGTTTCAGCAGCTAGAAAATCACAAGCCCTAGGCAACCATTTAGCTAAGCTCTGGCCTTCCTTTCTTTTTCCTTTTTCTCTATTTGGAGCATGACCTGAGGTTTGTATTCATTTGTTCAGGTTAATAAAAATTTCATGCTGCACAAAAGTTACTTTATTTTGCAAATGGTTCTTTCTGGGAAATTCCAAACAGGAAATCATAAAAATTTATTTTTTAATTCCTTTTTAAGAAACTTGCATGGGATATATTACCATATAGTCTTGCTGGGCAGGAGTCTAAGGAACACAAAAGAGGATTTAAAGAACAACGTTTAATAGAAAGTAATATATGTATATTTTATACATATGTTTATGTACACATGTATTTATCAGGACCCCAGCCCTCTCCAAGTGCACCACCACAAGTGTCAGTGGGAATGAACCCAGAAGTGCCATGGTGCACAGGAGGGACTCCAGACCTGACAATTATTTTTGCTGACCATCCCATAACTTCAAGCATTCTTCACATCCCCCTTGCTTATCTGGGGATCTGGGGACTGTCACCTTATTTGGGATGTACCACAAAAGATTTGGAGTTATTGCATTTCTGCAGAAGGGCCAATAGCTGCTACTCGATAGGGTCAATGGGGTCTAAGAGCACACTTGAAATCAAGAGCATTTCTCTTAACACTATCTGCTCCATTTAGGCCCTGTTGAACTAATTCCCACCATGTCTCACTGCAGCTGCACCCACCCTTGAAGGACTGTTTCATCATGTCCAGTACTTGATGAAAGATGTGCAGAGCTTCACCTGTGGAACATGAGATTCAGGCACTTGGCTTCTGGGCCTGAACTGCTCTGATCTGCTGGTGTTATCTTGTGTATCCTCTGGTCCTGTGCACAGTGGAGGAGATTCAAGTACATGTAGGTGCTCTGGTACGTGCAAAAAAACCTTTAATTTAATCCTTAACACAGCAATCATTACCTTCAGCCACATACTCATGAACATGCTCTCTTTTCTCTGGATGGGAACTTCAGGCGTCCAGTGCACAGTCTTTCAAGGCTGGTAGCTTATGAGCAAGAATTTCATATGTTAAAAATGTATGTAGAATCATACAATCATTAAGGTTGGAAAGCACCTTTAAGGTCATCTAATCCAACCATCCAGCTATCACCAGTATTGCCCACTAATCATGTCCCTAAGCATGACACCTTTTTCTTTAAACGTCTCTGGGGATGGTGACTCCCCCACCTCCTTGGGCAGCCTGTGCCAATGCAGCATCACTCTTTCCGAGAATCAGTTTTTCCTAACATCCAACCTGTATCTCCCATGCCATAACCTGAGGCCATCACCTCTTGTCCTGAAGATAGGATACAGCCCATCTGTACGGAGTCAGAGCAGTGGCTGTGATGCTACTTGGAGCAGTCAGACTGGTTGCCCATAAGTTCTAAGGTACAAGCACAGACTATTCCAGCTGGGAAACCCCAGGCAATAACTCAGTAACACTACTTGCGGGCACTGCTCTGTGCCAGGGGCAAAATCCCCTTGGCAGGAGCATGGGATTTCCTGAGCTGTTCCATTTATTTGTATTGGGAACACAGCTTCTTCAAAGTCAAAGTTATTTGACTGAATCCCCAAATTTGTACTGTTTTTTTTCCCTTCAACTGATTGTAATTACATTTGCATACATGATATACAGATGTAGAGGAATTCAATCAAAATGTAGCTGCCAAGAGGAGAACCAGTGAGTGTATGTTTATCAGAAAATCGTTATTAAAGACCTTCCGGGTTGGCAAACTTCACTTCAGAACGAGAAGCAAGATTTTTCATTTATCTCATTAAATATTTTCAGTTATTTCAGATGCAAGAGCCAAAAATATAAATCACTGCCAGCTTGCAGAAGTATGAGTTGGTAGAATGCTTATTATTGTTATTTATTAGATTGCAAAGAAAGATCTTGGCAGGTTTGTCTTGATGGGTGAGTTACAGGAATACAAGCTCTGTAATGGAAGGGTGGAGGATAAGGCATTCACATTCCAGACAGTGTTCCACTTTCTCCACATCTGATTCAATTTCAGCAGAGGTGGAAGAAAACCTGAGCAGATCTCTATAACTGCAGCTGCAAACAGAGGGTGGTGCATCAGATTTCCTGTGAGATGGATTGGGGCAGGAGAGTGGACACCTACTGAAGGTCTCTCTTCAGCTCTCTGCTCATCCCCAGGGCGTAGGAGGGATGCTGGTAAATGAGCCCTTGGTGAGACTAAATCCAATCAAACCATATTTATGTTTGCCAAATCTGTCTCACTGAGGCTGGAACAATTTGGCTGCACCAGGACTGTATTCAAGGAAAAGGACAAGAAAGAAATCCAGCAAAATGAGTAGAACTCTCTATAAGATGGGGAGGTGAATGGGTGAGTTTTGTGTAGATTTCTGTGCAGATGCATCAATTTATTAGAGCTAATTGTGCAGAACTGAGGTCATGCTGGTAGCTGGACAGGTGGATAGATGGACAGATGGACAGTTGCGCCTGTCTGACCACACCAGCAATGGTTCCTTCACCCACCAAATATGATTCATGAATTTGGTTTTTACTCAGTAACAGATAATATTTCAAAACAACGCAGGAATGGAAGAGTCTGGCAGAGGAATCTGTTAATCAGCTTTGCAAAAGATAATGAAGGTCAGTGAGCATAGACACAGTAAGCAAAACAAAAAACGTGCACTGTTGTCCCCAAACCAGGCTGAGATTAGGATTGTTTTGGTACAGAGGAGCTCACAACAGCCTAAGATATCTGAGCAGCAAGTGTTCTCCTCAGCAGTGGTAAAACTTGCAGTACCAGAGGTTACAGGTACGAGAAGTCCCTATAAGGTACAAAAGATACATGCTACAAAGGGTAACATGGCAAATCTCTGTGTAGCAGAGTGGCACCTTTCATAGAGTGAGGTCCAGGAGGGAGATGCCTGCCCTCAGTTAAATGAGGGAATCAGATGAGCCAAAAGGCATGGAAATCTTCCATTCTGCACAGTGCTGGAGGGGCTGCTTTGCTTTGTCCCAGCCAGAGCTCTGCAAGAAGTGTAAAGGGATGAAAAGCAGCGGGAGAAGCAATCTTGCTTTACTGATCTCAACGGTTAATCTTTAATTAAGCCGTGGACTGTTTTGGTCATTAATGTAATGTAGCAGGAAGGAATGAAGACTCGTAAAAACTCCATCCTTGCTCTGAGAGATCGTGCTGAACCTCAGGGGAACGTTTGGGAAATAGGTGCATCATGGGAATGCCCTTGGGAAGGGGATTTCTTTGGGGCTGTCCCATTGCACTCCTTGGGGAAGGGCTCCCAAGAGCCAGAGCTGCTCACTGGGTCCATTTGTGATTGTGCAAGTTGGAGGTTGGTTGGGTGCTGGCCAAAAGCTTATTGAATAAGAACTGCCTCAGAGGACTGTGGGGCAGACCCAAAGCTGAATGTAATTACCGGCTTATTTCTAAATTAATATTTTGTTAAGGGATTGGGATAGAATTTGTTTTCCTCCTCCTGCCCTCCACTGATCTGGGTTTGTTCAGCTTTGGAGTGAGCTTCAGGTTTTACTGCTCGTGTCTGAGGTTGTTAAAACCTGTGAAAGTTGGGACCGTTTAAATTCAGAGAGAAAGGAAGAAAAGAAAAAAAAAAAGAAAGAAAGAAAAAAAGAGGAGGGAGGAAAAACAGCTAGGAATGGGTGAATGTCATATAAATAGCAGTAAAACTGTTAAATCTATTTGCATTTCACACCCAATAATTTCAGACTCCACCTCGAGAGTACTGCTTGAAAGTCAGCACATTTAATTGTCCAGTAAATTTCCTTTCAGACAGCTGCTTCATAAACTGCCATGCAGTGCACGGTGAGAAAAAACAGATAAGTGATTTATCTCAGGAGGGAGACCAAAACAGCCATCTGCGTGCTGCTGGTTCCCCCCTCTGTCTCAGAGCAACCAGCACACGAGCTCCTTGGGTGCAGATTTGCAATGTGGGTGCTGACCCGGCCCCAGCAGTACCAACATGCAGGGCTGAGATGTCACCTGGCCACATGGTCCCTGCATGGTCCACAGCCCAGTGCCACACCACTGGGTCCAAGAACTGACTGTGTTGGGCAAGGAACATGTGAACTTTTTACATATGGCCATAAAGTGATGGCTTGTAATTCAATTAGAGCTCTGGAAAACCTGCTGAGCTATGTCATGACTATTTAGCCTAGCATTGGCTTCTTGGATGTCTAAGGACATGGTCAAAGTGGAGCAAAAGGATGGAGAAAAAAATTTGGCCATAAATCTTTATGGGGTTGTTACAGCAGTGGTGGGACTGTTCAGTGTCCACAAAAATGGACAGAGAAAAACCAATTTGGTTTGATTTGCAAAGAAACTTCAAATTCACTGCTCTTATCTCCCACTTCAGAACCTTTACAACACATATCCATTGATTTTCATAAAGATCCACTTCTCCTTTCCTCTTTGTTTTCCCTTCTCCATGTCTTGCCATTCTTCTTTGCCATTTCTATCTTTCCTCTTTTAACAGGTCAAAAAAACCATGCATATATACATACGTATGGGGTTGGAGCTCCATGATCTCTAAGGTCCCTTCCAACCTAAGCCATTCTATGGATCTATGATACGTATGAAAGAATTCTACACCTGCACCACTATTCTGCTTCTCTCCAGAGGTTGTTGGTTGAAAGTCAATGTAGTTGTTAAACAAAAAAGGATGGAAGCTCTAATTCTTGAAAAAAAAAAAAAACATCTTGGGTCTCCTCTGGGTGCCTTTTCTTGCTGCTGAAGATAAGAGCTTGCTGCCACTCCAGCACAGCTGCACACATCTGCAGGCTGCTGGGACTTGGGCAGGTTGCAGGCAGCTTGCTCACAATCTGTGCCTCTGAGCTGCCTCTGCCCCACAGCCAGGGATGCAGCAGCAAAGCGTGAGTGGTGTTAATGCTGGCAAGCTATTTCTTTTAATCAGCTGCTTTAATAATGAGGATATTACTGCTTCCTTATTCATTTTAAAAGGTCCTCTGTGATCGTGAATGGCTTTATTTATCAGCTATTGTTTAGATAGGTACAGCAAAGTAACCACCATTCTCGTCTGTTGATGCATGTGCTTTATCATGCATTTAATAGTCTTATTTCTCTGTAATGAATGAGTCCTCCAGTGGGAAATAAATTGAAATGCCAGTTTAGGGATCAATCAGTGCACATATGCAGCCTCTATAATGGGAAGTTCATGTTCTGTAGTGAAGGCTTTTTTCTGGAATGGATTGGCTGCAGATTGTGCTGCAGCTCTTGCCTTCAAGGTACAAGTCCAGATGAAATGGATAAACTGGTCCTGGAGAAAAAAGTCAGAACTGAAAGAAAATGTAATAAAAATGTGAATATCCCCAGATGATAAAGATACTGTTCCCCATTGTCCTGTGCTTGTGAGGCAAAGAAAAGTAACTGAGTGTCCTAAGTGGAGCCTTGTCTGAGGTCAGGGATGAGCAGTTCTGGGAATGGCACAGCCCTGAGAAGGCCTCTGGAGCCCATGCAAAAGCTCTGGAAGTCTGCAGGTCCAGAGCACAATTCCAGAAGATCTATAGAACCACGAATTTGGAGCTGGCCCTTCAGGACCTGTTGGATGAGGAACAGGGGGAACTGCACTTTGGGGCTAATATAATTCCTCCATCCCTTCCTGGTCCACCTATGGATCTGTGCAGAATGGAACTGCGGAAACATGGCTGAATTTCCAGGGTGCTTTGAAGGATTCATCCAAAGCTCGTTCGAATCCATGAAGTCTCCTCACTGTCTCCATCGACCTCCATAGGAGGTTCAGTGGGAGCAGAGACAAGAAACTCAGTACCAGCAGGCTGGGCACTTCAGCTTTAGTTTGGGTGCCTTTGCCTTGGCTTTTCTGTAAAATTTTCATCATGGAGATAGGGTCAGTCCATGT